ACTTTATGAGAAGAGGCAAAGGAGTTGCGTTTGCCCGAAAATGTGGTAATGAATTTTGGATCGAGGTGAGTTTCGATCTGATGAAAAGAGTGGTAGAGTTTGAGTTGAAGCACTCGTACGTCTCGGCGTCTGGAAGATTGATTCAGCAGCACGTCTGTATTCCAATGAAAAAAAGTAGCAGCCCCCCATTGGCGTGTATTATGTGCACAATGAATGAAAGTAGTTTTTTTTTTAGTCTGGGCGATGACCGATGTTTGATCAAAGGTATGGGACTGGTAGATGACGTCACGATCTTCATCTGGTGCCCAGTGAGGAACGACGAACACTGACGGAAAAATATTACAGGATTGTTTGAGTATGCGTATGATGAAAGAGTCACGTTGAAACGGACGGACGAAGGGATGGGCACCAGGGATTTTCTTGGGACACGAATGGAAATTCAGAAGCATAGGGTGTTATGTCAGAATTTCCCTAAGAATTTTGAACAAGTCTGGGGGGAGAAAGGGAGGCTACCTTACTGTATCTTTCAGGATTTCGAATCCTTCTCCATGCTTAGGCAGAAGAAGGTTGTGATTACCTGCACACTACACAGAATTCGGAGCATGACGTCAAATGACGAACTAGCGGATCTGCGTCTGCTCACTGTGAAAAGACAACTACGTTTGCAAGGTTACCCAGCGTGGATGTTTAATCATTGTCTGTGTAAATTCGTGAGTAGGTGGGCCCCTGAGTGGGAAAGGTGGAACCGGAGATTGGGGAATTGGTGAAGGAACAGAGTAGCGGGAATATGTCTAACCAACCTTGGTTGTGACTAGAGTAACGGGATTATGGTAAAACAATCTAGATGATGAGTAGAGGGGTGTATGTTTTCTTTTCTTTCTGTTTGGAAGGTTAAAAAGCAGTGGGGTGAGAGCACTTGTTGCGGATTCCTCGATCTCATGTGAGGGGTAGAGCCTGGGCCTTTGAAGCCCTGAGGGAATGGTCGAGCACTAGTGGGGGAAGTACCAGGCCAACCCGCGATTTAAAAAAAAAGTCGCGAAACGTTTTTTGATATTGGGGGGTTTAAGATTTTTTCTCTATAAGCTATCGAAAAGAGCCCGAAATATCGGGGCGGCTGGATGGGCCAGTTCCGGAACATGTGTGGGGTGTTAGACTAAGTGACGCAGGATATTAGCTTTCAAACATTGAACGTGACTCACTTAGTCCAAGGAGTTCTAGAGAAGTCACAGTACCGGGTCATTGTCGAAGGTACCAGGCGCATCTGAACAGGGTTGAGGCGGGTATTAATAGTGTACTATTGTAGCATAGTAAGCATCTCGAAGTGTCCCCCCGAGGATGTCACTAACTGGCAGCGGCCAAAACTAGTCAGGGATTGACCAGACACCTTCGTCTCTTGGGCTGCACTCTATTATGGAGGAGGGGAGGTGTTGTCACGCCGGCTATGGCCGATAGTGACGATACATGCGTAGAAGTTCATATCTTGGTTTTGAACTTAATAATTTCGAGATTCTTGGTGCATTTTGTTGTGACATCTGTGGTTATGTGTGCGCGAGCTTTGGGGTCAGGCCTTTTCATCTAGCTCTGCTGTTCTCATCTCATCTATTTTACAACAATACCAAAAAAAATCATAATACAGTTAAATAAAAATTATAATTAAAAATATGCTCTATTATAATATAATATAATATAATTGATTAGAATATATAATAATTAAAATAAATAATATTGTAATATAATAACATATAATGAATATAAATCATTAATTACTATGTTGTTTTTCCGGGCACTCTGGCACCCAACTTCTGCCCGGATACACGCCCAGGTGCCTGACTGGGCATGAACTTCGGGTGGGGTTTCAGGCAGGCCCCGCAGGGAAAAACAACAACAACAACAACAACAACAACAACAACAACAATAACAACAACAATAACAAAAGTCAAAGAATTCCAGAAAAAAATATGTTGTGTAGAATTGCAATACAAAAATGTTTAGCTGAGGGTCACATCAGACTTCCTCGCTGATTTGGAGATAAAAAATGAAAAAATCACACTAAAGTGTTCCCCTTTAACCCCTCTTAGCCCCTTTAAAAACAATTCATGCCTCATCTCCCCCCTTGACAGCCAACTCTCAAAAAATGAAACAAGCCCAGATTTGGGGTCCTTTGGGAGAGCGCAGAAAGGCAAAAAAAAATATAAATTATTATTATTGTTTTTTTTTTGCACGCCCAGGTACCCTGGCCATCACACCCGGGTGCCCGACCGTGCATGCTTAGCCGGACATGAAAAAATTCCTAGATTAATTATATATAATTCTAGGCTACCAGCCGGGCCGCCCGGGTCCCGGGTGGGCAGCCCGTGCAAGGACCGGGGAAGGTCCCAGCTTTAAAAAAAAAAAAAAATGCAAAATATCTGAAAACAAACTATGTTATACAGAAAAATAAACTGAACAACTTTTGCCCCAAGGTCACATCGAAATTCTGCACCAAATTTATGATAAAAAATAAAAAGTTTATTTTTTATTTTTATTTTTTAATTATTTTTGGCCCGGCCGGGCAAGTTACCCCGGGCCACTCTGGTAGCCTAGATATATAAATAATTATATTGATTTTTATATGTTAATATATTTGATATCTATATTTTAATATCTATGAGTTGCGCCCCATTCAAATTCCCCTTTGATTATCGCGTCTCGAAGTTTGAAAAACTTTTCAAAAGAGCTACTGTCAATAGTTGTTTCATCGGGACCCGAAGTCACCTTTTGTGATAATTTGTATGTGATTATCAAATTTTTGATATTTCGCATAAAACCTCAAAGATCATAGTAACCCTGAACTGTTTTTTTGTAACTGTGAATCCAAAGGCCTAGATAAGGGTCAATTCCATAGCGTATATTTTCGGTCACATCCACTCCGGGATAGCAAATCCTTGTTTTTTCGAAGCATTCTATATTTCATCAGATAAAGATTAATCTAAACTTATGTTTTTTTTTTGTCAAACGTCGTCTTCACAAGGCGCCTTCAAGAATCAACCGAAGGGCTAAGGTTTCTTGACGACTCTTTAGTATAATGGATTAGACTAATTGGATGGTTCTGAAGATTATGATTTTTCTTACTTTTAAAATAGGCTGCAAACACTTGGGGCGACGGAGAGATTATAGTAGTGATTGATATCAGACATGACAAAAAGTCATGTGGAGAATACAAATTTGAATGATCATTCACATAACATTCATCAAGGTCGCAGTTGGCAAGCCTCTATCGACTTACTTACAGTCGTTAAAAAAAAGACCTTTGTGAGATTTATATGCAAGGAAACTTGCGCATACGGTTCGAGAAAGACTTTATGATGCCTATCGCTGTATGAAAGCGTCAATTATGCTATTTCACTCAAAGATTTAGAAGGTTGGATAGCCTTTGCAATATTTTTGTCGTTTTTTGTTTTTTATGCGTCTATACAATTATTTATTATTCATTTATTATATTCACTTTTTCTTTTGTAAAAAAAAAACAAAGATGTGTAATAAAATAATCAATTGTTTTTACAAAGGTTATGAAATACCTTGTTTTTGAATCATTAAAAAATGCATTAACATAAAAACAACACTAAGAAGATGAAGTTGTTTGGATTAGGATCATTGGTTTGGGCAAGACATCAAATATACGTTTTTATGCCTATCAATCAATTGTTCGATGTTGCAGTTAATCCTAAAGAAACTTCATTACCTCATGAATTTATATTAAATAAAGATTTTATAGACCCAATTATATCCGAGTTTTAAAGGTAGGTAACATGTTATAACATTATAGTCATAATTATTAGGTCGAACGTTCGGCGGCACCCAGGCTGACCCCCGAACGTTCGGGATCTCGGGCCCCGTTCGAGGTTCGAACCTGATGGCATTCAGACCCTGCCAAAAATGATTTCGAGGCCTAAAAATTAGTTTTTTTTTTAATATAGATTTTTTTTGAGTTATGTATTTCATTCGCTACATGCATATAAAGTTTTCATACATTTTACCAAACCAAAAACAAATGCAAAATCGACAAAGACGACGGTGTCAAAACGTGCTCAGCCACTCGATTTTATTCGTTTTCTTTTTTAATGCCTTTTTTTTTAAGGCCTACTTTTTATGTTTTTTCTTGATTTCATTTTAGTGCCTTCAATATTTTATTACTTTTTTAATTTTTTTTTACGAGCTTTATATTATGTGATTATTTTTTGTCTTGATTTCATTTTAGTGCCTCATACAGGGACAGGGCGACTTTTTCGATTTTCTTCGTTTGTTGAGTTCGGCCCGAGAATGGCCCTTCGGGTTTTCGGTTTTTCGTTTTTTTCCATCTGGGCGACAGGCCCTTCGGGTTTTTCGTTTTTTGTTTGACAGGTGGTCCTGCGACCTTTTGGGTCTGCAGGCACAGTACTATGTTTTGTCAGTACCGGAGTTTTGTCGTAGTGAGTCAAGCTTTGACGGTTGCAGTCCAACGCAGACGTCGAGTTTTGTACTCTGGGTTTTGTCGATACCAGAACAATCGGTTTATTATAAAAGTAATTACTACGAAGCCTATGGTCCTTTTTGGGTCCGACGTGTTGGTAATTACCGCCATGCAGCGGTCGTTACCTACGGAGGTGGGTTGGAGGAGAACGATGAAGGAGGCTAGGGAAATGTTTGGATGGTATTCCCCCTGAAGATGACAGTGTGGCGACTGTCGAAACCGGTCGAGGTGCCTACCCACCGGGGCTGTAATGAATTACTTGTATAATTAGTTCTTTCATATGTTTTTCGTATGGTGTGACTACTTGTACATGTCTTGCGATTGACTTTCGTTTTGCGATTGATCGTCGTTTTTCACTCTTTTCCAAACTTGCTAAGGCCCGTGCGAACCAGCTGGGAAGTCGCCTCGCGAGTGTGGGCACGTCGTTACTTTGTTACTCTGTTACTCTGTTTCTGTGTTTGCTAGTGTTTGGTTTCGACCGTCGTTGCTACGATCGGGTCGAGTGTAACCAGTGTTTTGAAGAGACCGCTTTGAAGATGTCAGGGGAAGGGCATCGGGATTACCGGTGGGAAAGTGATCGAGATCGACACCATGACTATGGCAGGGGTTACGCGTATGGAGGCAGTCGAGACCAAGGAGGTGAAGACCGACGTGATCGACAAGGTGATTTTCGATACGACCGAGGAGGCTATCGAGATCAGCCACGACGTTTTGTTCCGGTGTGTTATGAATGCGGGGAGCCCATGCACTATAAGAACCAGTGCCCTAGGCTTGTTGGTGAAAGCAGTGGGCGGCGTGCTCCTCAGCGAGGACGGTCAACCTCGCCTGCTTACCATGAGAAAGGGAGTGAGCGACGTTCAACATCGGAGGATCCGGCGGTCAGAAAACAGCTCGAAGATTTGGCGAGCTCTTTAGCGAGTATGAAGAGCTATATTGAAGAGGAACAAACCAGAAAGGAGGAGAAGGAGAGGGAGAGGAAAAAGAAGGAGAAACGCAAGCAGGAGGAGAAGGATAGGATGTTGAGGGAAGAGGAGGAGAAGCTAGCCAAAGAGAGGCGTCTGAAGAAGAAAGAAGAGAAAAAACGGATGGAAGCGGAAGATCGAGAAGCGATGAGGAAGGATCTGCGAATGAAAATTTGCAAGCATATGGGTGGTGTTTGCGAGGAGTTGCACCAACGCCTGTTGGCTTCTCATGTGGTTAATAAGAAGGGGAAGGGTAAGTTGCCGGAGTACACGTCTTCAGGCGAGGCCAGTTACGAGTCTGAAGGGGGTGAGGTGGAAGCGTTGAGTGAGCAGACAGAACGGTCGAGGCTTAGTGAGAAGCGTAAGCGTAGTACAGAATGCGTGATTGGTGACAGCCCACCGATGGAAACTCCAGCCAAAAGGACACCGAAACAAGGAAGCCTTAACCCAAAAAGGTTGTTGTTGCGCTGCAAACGTCAACAGATGAAGCGATCACCAGCAAAGAAGACACCAAAGACTCGTAAGAACATTCTGAGAGGCAAGAAGATTCCAGCAGCTGCAAGCGATATGGGGAAACTAATGTTTGTAACCGATAATCTGCGTGAGTTGGGCGAAAGAAACATCGAAGATTTAAAGCAAATCTGTCGAGTGGAAGACGTTCCCTACGAAGGGATGAGAAAAATGGATATGATACTAGCCATTGCGGAAAAATGATCGAAGGTGGCGTATGGAATGGATGAAGAACACGAAGGGACTACGGGGGTGACTATTGAAGATTTGGGTAAGAACAGTAGGGAGGAAGGAGAGAATGAGGAGGGGAAGAATGGCGAGGAGGAAGATATCTGAACTGTGGGTGAGTATTGGAGATTGTGTCGAGCCTTGATGGAAGTGCGTAAAGTATCGTCTTACGATGTGACGGTTCATACTCTGTATAGACTGGTAGTTATGCTACTGACTTTGCAGGGGCAGATTCGGTGGCTTCGTAAGTGTGAAGACTCGTGGCTGAGTATGTACCGGCGGATGGGTATTAAAGCGTTTAGTGGGGGCACTGGTGGCGTTTACATTCTGTCTTCACCAACGTGTAAAGCACAGTATATTGGACAAAATAAACGAAGCTACGATATCCGATGGAGGGAGCATATTTCAGTTTGCGAACGCGACCTGAAACAGACCCACCTGTACAGGTGGTGGTAAGTTTTTGGATCCGAATTGTACATAATTTTGCCAATAGAGGTAGGAGCGGCTATTGATATGCCTAGTTTGGAACTACTGTACATTCAGAGATGGTCTCCCGTACTTAATACCACGGGGAAACTCGTTAAAGGGCGATGTAGAAAGAAAGCTAGGCGAGGCAAGAAAGAGCGTGCCAAGTTGGAGGTTGAGACGAGGACTTGGACGCCGAGGCATTTGGAGAAGTTTGAAGCGGTGTTACCAGTCAAAATCAAGTTACTTGACGAAGTGGAATGGAGCGTTGATTTTTACCAGTTATTGCTCGCGCAAGATCAAGCGGAAACTCCGTTTTTCTCCTTTTCGGTCGAAGGTGGAAATGGATGGTGTGGAGGTTGGAAATCTATCAAACAAGCTTTTGGTAAGTTTATTGTACGTTCGGGGGGGCGGCGCAAGCATCTGTGGTGTTGTAAAGCAGAGTTTGAAGGAGGTGGAGTTTTCGAGATGGTGATGCTCGTGAAATGGAAACCAAAGGCTAGCTCCGATAAACGATTCTTGAGATCGTTGTTCCGTAACCCACGTCATTTGGACATTCTGAAGAAATGTGGTTTGGAGGTTCTCATTCGTTTGATCAAGGCAGCGGGAGATTTTCAGAAAGCTTCTTCGACTGCCTACCTTCATCGTTTTGTGACTCGAGCAATCTAGGAAGTGTATGGCTGGAGTATGAATGCAAAACTGGTTGTGCATTTGAGATTTGATGACCGGATTAGACCAGTGGAGGTTCAGAAACTGGTTAACGACAAGATCGAGGAGCTGGATATCCCGGCCTGCTTGAAGGATGCTGCACGTGGTATGATCCGGATCGTGTGGGTAAGAAACCCATCGGTCGCCGAGATGATACATAATCAGCGGCTTTTTGCTAAAGCCGATGTATCCACCTGTGTATGTACAGGCCTTCCCTACCTACGGGTAGGTGACCACGTGCAGTTCCGGATGCAAGATTTGGGAGGTATTAATCCTATGATCTGCCATGCAATGAACATTCCTAAGCTCGGCATTCCGAACAGGGAGAAGTTGTTGGGACAAGAGATCGCAGCTGGTCTTGCTAATTGGAGTAATTGGACAGGACCTGACATAGCCTGTCGAGGGTCAGAGTTATCAAGGTGCATGAGTGGGAGCACGGGCAAAGGGGAGAAATTTCTAGACCCCAATGAAGTGGACAACGTGAAGTCGCTGCTGAAGGGTCTGGTGTTGACCCCGGTCGATCGCAATCCGGGGGAGACTTTGGTCATGTGTCCGGCGATATACTTTGAAGCAATGATGGGGATGTTCGTCACGTCGGCAGGATAGACCATCATGGAGGAATCTGAGGACGCGGTGCACCTTAGGATGAGAGCCAACGAGAAACAGTTGGGGCTGTAGAAATTTGTCCGATGGGACACGAAAGGCAAGATGGGTGAAGCATACATTATGCCTAAGCATAAGGATCTGGCACGTTTCAGGCCAATTTGTCCAACCTTTTCCGAACCTACGGTTCGAACATGTCGGGCAGTGGCGAAAGCGCTCAACCACTTGTTGGGCACGATGCCAATTGATGGTAATTTTAACCTGAAATCAGTGGTCGATCTGGTGCCGAGGTTGGAATCGTGCAACAGGAGGATTGCACAGAGGAGTAAGGATGATTTTGATCTGGTATCCATGTCTTATGACATAAAGGACATGTTTACCAAGCTGCTGCATAAGGATATCGTGAAGGCGGTAGACTGGGTTATCGACTACCATGAGAAGAAAGGAAGAAGGGCGGCTAGGGTGAATATCAGGGGAAAAGGTTGTACGTTTGGACAAACAGTGGGAGAAGAGTTATGGAGGAAGATGGAACTGGTGGAGATTCGGAAGTTCGTTCGATGGGAGTTGGAGCATACGTACACGGAGGCGACTGGGGTGTTATTGCGGCAGGTGGAAGGGATACCAATGGGCAAGTGTACTAGCCCGCCTTTAGCGTGTACGTTGTGTGCGTTCACTGAATTCGAATTTCTGAATAACTTGGGGGGTTGGCGTCGTTTCGTTTTTGGTTTTCGGCTAATGGATGACGTCAGTTTGGTCATTATGAAAGGAGGAAGGAAGCCAGCACCGGTGGAACTGATTCAGACTCGTTTTGAAGGATGCTACCCAAGGGAGCTGACCCTGAAAAGAACGGACCAGGGGGAGGGTTCATGGGACTTTTGGGCACAAAAATGAGTGTCGACAGCCTGAACCCTTACCTTCGTTGCGTGCAATCGGCAAAGAACGAAGTCTCCATGTGGGAAGATGATCGTTTGGAATACAAGAATGGGTAGACCTACTACTCATGGGGAAGTAAGGCCCAAAAAAGTGTCGCGATTGGTAGCTGTTTGAATCGTATTCGGATAAATACGAATGTGGAATCAGCGATCCCGTTGAGAGTTTTGAGTCTGCAACGAGAATTAAGGCTGAAAGATTTCCCAAGCCCTGTTCTCAATCGGGTCTTGAAGAGATTCACCAAGGGCAGAGACCCGATTTGGGCATGGACTCATGATTGGTTGTTCATGGAGGATATGTAGGATCTTGCGCTTACCCGATTTGGGCATGGACTCATGATTGGTTGTTCATGGAGGATATGTAGGATCTTGCGCTTGGCTTTGTACTTTGTTTTCTGTTTTTCTTTGTTTTCCTTTTGTTTTCCTTTCGTTCTTCGAACTCTTTCATTGTGACGGAGCTAGAGTTTGTTGGAATACATTAGAATGTTGTATGGATAGGCGGTCATTTGGATATTGTTTGACAGTCTGCTCTTCGGTGTGTTTTCTTTTCTTTTCTTTAGTTTGTCTAACGACCGGTCATAGGTATAGTGCGACCTTGTCTGTTTCTTTATACAGGGACAGGGCGACTTTTTCGATTTTCTCCGTTTGTTGAGTTCAGCCCGGAAGTGGCCCTTCGGGTTTTCGGTTTTCATTTTTTTCCGTCTGGGCGACAGGCCCTTCGGATTTTTCGTTTTTTGTTTGACAGGTGGTCCTGCGACCTTTTGGGTCTACAAGCATAGTACTGTGTTTTGTCAGTACCAGAGTTTTGTCGTAGTGAGTCAAGCTTTGACGGTTGCAGTCCAACGCAGACGTCGAGTTTTGTACTCTGGGTTTTGTCGATGCCAGAACAATCGGTTTAGGATAAAAGTAATTACTACGAAGCCTATGGTCCTTTTTGGGTCCGACGTGTTGGTAATTGCCGCCATGCAGCGGTCGTTACCTACGGAGGTGGGTTGGAGGAGAACGATGAAGGAGGCTAGGGAGATGTTTGGATGGTATCCCCCCTGAAGATGACAGTGTGACGACTGTCGAAACCGGTCGGGGTGCCTACCCACCGGGGCTGTAATGAATTACTTGTATAATTAGTTATTTCATACATTTTTCGTATGGTGTGACTACTTGTACGTGTCTTGCGATCGACTTTCGTTTTACGATTAATCGTCGTTTTTCACTCTTTTCCAAACTTCCAAACTTTATATTATCTGAAATACACATCTGTGAATTTTTATGGCATTTGGCTATCCCAAGAAAAAAATAAAAAATCGCCTAAGATGGTGGTGTTGAAAACATGCTCGCTCACTCACTAATTTCAATTCTCTTTTAATTTTTCTTTTTTTTCTTGGTATTTTTTTTTTTCGTATTTTGTTTTTATTTTAAATTTGTTAAGGAATTCGGATGTAACATTGAGGCAAATGTTGTTTGTTTTATTTTTTTGCATAACATATAGTTTTTTCATATTTGTAATCAGGGTTACCGGCGTTCGGGACGGGCCGAACGCCCGAACGTACGGGACCCCTTCAGAAGGCGTTCGGTCGTTCAAGGCGAACGCGGACCAAAAAAAA